TGATGTTTCGCAGATGGGTCCGCACTTCTTCAATTTCAGGGAGGCGGATGTTCGTTGCAATCTGATAGCCTCCGCGGATGGCCTTGCCCTCAGCGTCCCTATAGGCAGGGTTGCCCTTGCCGAAGGCCGAGTGTTCCCCTTTTCGGCGTCTTGGGTCATTATACGGAAGCAGCTGGCCACCTCGCCTGAGAGCGTGTTCTTTCGGGCCAGCCTGCCTCCACTCACGAGGAAGCCGAGCCTGTGGGTGTGGCTCTCCTCTAACGCGCGTATGGGAACGGGACCTACCAGCGTTCTCATCAGAAGAGGCCGCCGAAGCAGCCTGAGTGGTAGCCGGCGGAGGCGCCTGCGGAGGCTCCTGTGCGATCCCAGGTGGATCGGCCAATAGAGGCAGGTCCCCCTGCTGGCTGGAGCTCGGCGCAAATGGCGCTTGTGCCGATGGTGATGGTGCTTCAGGCTCGTCAGGATCAAAGTCAACCTCTTCCTCACCATTGACTTCCATCATGAGGACTGTAACTTCATCCTCATCTAGCCCGCAACCAGCGCCTTCTTCTTCTTCTGATGTAGAACTACCAATGATGATGGCCATTGGCGCAGCCGGTACAGGCAGGTTTCCCTGCATGGCCGGCGTCTGTGCGTCGCTCGGCTGCCCCGGGGTAGGCGGCGCGGTTGTCGGCTCAGGCTCGTTGCCGAGCACAGGCTGCCCAGCAATGTTGCGCATGGCCGTATGGTTTGGCCGCAGTCCCACCGCCTGGAGACCCCATCCTGGCGGAGGAAGATCATGGCCGCGCATGGCGATAGCCATTTCCAGAGCATTGCGCCATCTACCGCGGGAGTATATCAGGTGTCTCTGCACGTCCTCAGGATGCACGCTGTCAATGAGAGTCAGAGCTGCCAGCGACAACTCCGAGCTACCGCAGGCGTCGGTATCCTGCGGCATCATGCTGTCAGCTTCGATGTGCTCTTGACTCTCGGGATAAGCGGTGATAAGTATCTCATGCATCCTCGTGAGGGTTTGCAGGAGAGTACGTGGTCCGTATTCGCCTGGAGCAAGCGAACCAGGGGGTACAAATGGGATCTCTGGTTCACCTGCAATGAAAGCTTGAACGAACGCCTGAGACTCCATATCTATTAGGTCTTCAGTAGTTTGGGGATAGTCTCCCATCAAGGTAGGCCTGTTTCCAGGCGGGAGTTCAGGTGGAGGTTGGAGGTTGCGTTCAACCTCGGAAGGCGAGGCCTCCACAGTGATGTCCTCGTCACTGCTTTCGTAGGCCATGATGTTGCCTGGGTTCCCGAACATCCAGTCGAAGAAAGAAAGGCTGGTTTCCCAGCGTACCGTTGTCCACGGGAGTGAGCTCGTTGTTGCCAATAACGAACCGGCGGACGTACTCGAGGTAGTACGCGTACAATCCATGACCATGCGCCTCGAGCTCGTCGACGTTGTCCATGCAACTGACCCAAGTGTAAAATATCTGCTCCATGGCTTCAAAATCCTGGAGGCTCAGATATTCGATGAATGGTTCACTTGAGCCAAAATGGACTTCGGTCGACCTGCCCTTTCCATTTCCCTTCGCTGGACAATCTCGCACAAGATGGTCGGTACTGTCGCACTCATGGCACTTAAGAACCTGGCCGTCTCTACCTCGCGGGTTTCCCCGCCTACCCTCGCCTTTTCCTGAGGTCTCTCTACGGCCCTTGCCGCGGCCCTTTCCCCCAAAGAATATCTCATCATGTTGTTCATCTGAGAGCCTCTGGAGAAATGCCGTGATGCCTCGTCCGTTCAACCTCCGACGACCTCGTTTACCCTTACCTTTTCCCTTTAAACTCCTCCGTATCCTCCTCCTAACACGACGCACTGGTTTTCGTGTGAACCTCCTCCACCTCCGTTTGGCCTGTTGTAATAACCAGAACAAATGTTCAGCACGCTGATTGTCATTGCCCATATTCATAATATCTGACCAATCTAAAGCTTCAACACCGTCTGATGATATAGTATCTGTGTCGGTGCCGGAGTCGAAATCCTCGTCTCCCAAGTAGGTGGATACACCGTCGGTTAGGGGATTTGATTCACCCCATAAGGAACGGTGTGGTTGTGGTTCTCTAGAAGGAGGGCTGGTTGCCCAGCTTGGTTGTGATCGATCTCCTGCTAGTAGAGCAGTGGATTCTCCAGGATCATCGGCCCATATGCTTGAGGGCCCGTTCCCAGGCTGGGCTTCAGTGGTCAAGGTAGTGTAGAAATTTCCACTACCAGATCCCCTTCCCCTTCCAAACACAGATCCTATATTACCAGGAGACCGTTCAGATAGGTGGCCTATCGAACGCATCCTCTCCAGCAACTCATCATACTGTTGTTGTGTTCGGGGCATTTGGTGATTGAGTGGCTGTAGAGAGTTGCATGGCTCGCTGGTTGCCGACGCCTAAGGCGCGGAACAAGATCGTAGTTAGTAGTTGGAAGTTGGGAAGGTCAAATCCCACCGACTGTGCCTCAAGTCGGGCCATTTCGAATCGGGTAAGGGTGACATCGATTCGTTCCCCGTGAGGCACGTGGAAGTCGATGAGTTGTGTGCCGGAAGTGAGCTGGCGCTCATCTTCCAGGCGCTCGAACTTCATGCTTAAGAGGAACATGATGTAGGTCACTGGGTCGGTGTGGACCCCATCGATGTCAGCACCATAATTTATGATGTCAGGCGGTACCCTCATGGCGAGTGTCCTCGCTAGGCCACCTAGGCCGCGTTGTATGGCGGCCGCTTGGGCCTGTGGCGTCATACGTCCGCTTGTGACGTTGAGCCATGCGTTGACCTCATAAACGTACTCGCGGAAAGGTACGTTGCCTTGAGGGTCCCAATATGGGCCATGTGTTTGCCCATCGGTGCTGTTGTCTCCACGACGCATGTGTCCGATTGCTGCCCCCAGCGCGAACCATATGATAGCGAAGATAACCAGCCCAAGGCTGTGTAGATAAGGGCGGTTATTAGGCGCGTTGCCGCGCTGGGGTAGCGCCTTGTCGAGTCTTCGAGGCGCTCTATCTGGCGGATCTCTCCGCCCATGCTTCAAGTATTGCGCTTTTGGCTCGTTGCCGAGCGGTTGGTGGTAGCGCAATGATGAAGCGTATATGGTACCAATGTCGTTGTCTAGACGTCGTACCTCTCGTGTCGCTTCTTGCTCTTGGATAGATCCTCGTAAACGTACTGGGAGTGATAGCGCAGGGTGGTAGGTGGTCACGAAGATCGTGCCGAAGAGTATGAGGCTAAGAAGAGCAAGAGCTGACCACACGAGAGTGCGGCCAGCTCCGCTACCAAGTCGAAAGTGAGCCTGGTAACTCAAATAGCATCCGATTCCGTAGACATCGGATGGCAAATAGCGTCCGGTATCGTACTGACGTGGTTCAGTAAGAGGAATGGACGGATAAGATAGGATAAGATCGATGTATCGGTCTTTCCAGCACATAGCGAACACTCGCGGTGTCCGGGCAAATAGGGCGCGCGTGCCTTGAGCCAAAGGCAACGGCGCGCGAGCTATGCTCCCGATACTATAACATATCCCAAAGAGCTACCCGTAAAGTGGGGGAACCGCCCGGGGCGCTTTCCACTGCCCGGCCTCTTTAAGCCCAGAGAGTAAGAACCCTTCTAGGCAGAGCCTAGGTAGGGAAATACACCCCAAAATACCCCCAATAACAAAGAACACTCCCACAAAAATAAATACGGATTTTGGACCAGAAAGGACAAGTACACCAAAAATACCCAAATATAGTTACACAAATAATAATGAAATCGTCCCCTGACTATATTTTTTGATGGGTTTTGAACTTATCCCGTGGAGGGACGCGCCCGGCTTACGCATCGGGCCGCGCCGCGTCGGCTCGCGGCCGAGGCGCGGCCCACGGCGCGGGTGGCCGCGGCGGCGGGGCCCGCCCGGCCCACGGCGCGGGGCGCCCGCGCGGCCGCGGCCGCCCCGCGCGGCAGGGGCTGCTACTCGGGGGGCGTCGGAGCCCGCTGCTCGGGTTCCGGGCGCGCCCGGGTCGGCCGCGTCGGGCCGCGCCTGCGCTCCAGGGCCATCGTCGAGGGGAGGTCTCTGCCTCTCAGCGCGAGGCAGTCTGCGCTCCAAATGGCCACGGACACGTCGCACACGGGGGGAGGGAAAGAGGGGAAGGCACCACCGCCACCAGCATCAGCATCACCACAGTCGCCGCCATCACCATCACCCCCATCATCATCACAGCCACCACCATCACCACCACCCTCATCAACATCTTCACCAGCATCATCATCATCATCACCATCATCATCAACATCATCATCATCAACATCATCATCATCATCATCATCATCATCATCATCGTCAACATCATCATCATCATTATCGTCGTCGTCATCACCATCAGCATCAGCAGCAGCATCGGAATCCGCATCATCATCAGCACACTCATCATCACCATTACCATCATCATCATACTCAACTTAGTCTTTACCATCACTTTCATCATCACCATCCTTCATCATCATCATCATCATCATCACCCCCACCATCGTCATCATCATCGTAATCGTCATCGTCGTCGTCATCATCGTCATCATCATCATTGTCGTCGTCGTCGTCATCATCATCTTCAACATCACTACAACCGCAACCAGCATCATGTTCATCAGCATCATCATCATCATCATCATCATCAAAATCATCACCGTCGTCGTCGTAGTAGTCGTCATCGTCACGAACGTCGTCATCGTCATCGTTGTCGTTGTCATCATCATTATCAGCAACTACATCAATTATCGTCATCATCATCATCACAATCATCACCACCATAACCATTACCACCACCGTCACCACCACCATCATCACCATCACCATCACCATCACCATCACCAACACCAACACCATCATCATCATCATCATCATCATCATCATAATCATCATCATCATCATCATCATCATCATCATCAACATCATCATCACCATTATCGTCGTCGTCGTCATCCATCGAGTGGGGAAGCACAGAGCACCTTTGCTGCACTTGTCGATCACGTACAAGAAACAGAGGGACTTCGAAGGCTCCGGGGCGCTGCTGCCTCGCGGCCGATACATACATATGTCATACATACATCTATGTGTAGATATCTATATATAGAGATAGGGAGACAAAGAGAGAGAGAGAGAGAGAGAGAGAGAAAGAAAGAGAGAGAGAGAGAGACAGCGAGAGAGAGAGAGAGAGAGGGGGAGAAAGACATGCATACTATGACTATGCGTATACATGTGTGTGTGTGTGTGCATGTCAAACGATGTGCGATGAAATAACTTGCGACTGCCAAACCTACACATACGTGAACTGGGCCGTGTGGGCGGTCTGGCGGCTATGTTCCCGCCGTCGCCGCCCCGTCGCCGCCTCGTCGCCGCCCGTCGTCTGAGCCGTGTGGGCGGTCGTCGCCGCCCCGTCCCCGCTTCGTCCCCGTCTCGTCACCACCGTTGGATTGCACCACGTAGATTGCACGTTAAAACATATCGCGCATGCGGCACGCTTCCGATTGCTCACAGCATAGATTGCGCCACATACGTATACATATATTTATATATACACATATGTATATATACGTCGGTGGTGCAATATGCACCGCATGGTCACACATACATATATATATATGTATACATGCACCAAATGCTCATATATATATATATATATATATATATATATATATATATATATATATATTGCGCAATACACGCGGCACCACATAATTACACAGCCACGCATATTGCACCACATAGGTTGCTCATTTAGGGGACAGGGGCAACATGACCAGGTGTTCTTCTGTAAATATAGGCTTCACATGACAATTCTCATCTTCGAGCAAACAGAAATCAATTCGCCTGGCGTGCCTGCGTCGTTCGAGATGTGCTGCATCAGCGTGCGACCGCATGCGACTGCGCACGCCCGTCATTTCTAGGAGGGGGCGCCTGCGTGGTTTGAATAGCGTCGGAAAACCGAGTCTGGAAGGTACGGCGCACGTCCAGGAACGTATCGCCGCCCTGTCCAAACAGGTGCCCATGCCCCAGATTCAGTGCGTTTTCAAAAACGCCCACTGCGTTTAGCGAGCAAACGAGAAGGAGGGGCTTGCGACGGGCAACAGGAGGGAGGGCCAAGGGAAGAGATGGGGAATGGCCCGCTCGCTTGGACGGATCCCTCATGGTCAAACGTAATGTGTGCTCTTGAGCGCGGTTGCTCTGCCAGACGGCTCTGCTGCTGCTTCCCTCATTACGGTTTTCGACGATATTCGCTTCCAATGAACTCATGTTGCGTTTCCGTGTGGCCCTTTGGAGGTTCGACCAGCATTTTTCGTGCTCGCACAAAATGCAAACAAGTTGTCATCCGGCAACGTAAACCTATGGGTGCCCGAATTCGGGGCAACCAGTTTTCGCGCCGCACATCTGAGCCCACTGCGCCTCCGGAGACAGCGACGGCCCAATTTGATCGTATGCCAAACGCGTGCGCTCGGCGAGAAAACCGCGCCGCCGACCCGTGGAACACCGCCGTGCCGAAGGGGGGGGGTCTTCGCAAGCAGAGAACGGCAGAATTCCGCATGCTATTCGAAAGTCCGCTCGGGGAGACACCCTATCACGGGCGGTGGGCAGATGGATCCCATAAAAGCCATGTTTCCTTTCATCCTTTCCCTCTACCATCATCATAATCGTCTTCCTTCGTCCCTCCTCTTGTCCAAGAGTTGCGCCCGACGTGTTGGATCGCCTCCTCTTCTTCCTCTTCCCAACCTTTCGCTCGCCATTTTGGTTCAAGCCCCCCCTTGGCCGAATCGGCTATATGTGTTTCCCTGGGGGTCGCCGCGCCCACTTTCCCGTGAGTTCTCGCGCCGACGCTTGGGCTACTCCCGCGAACAGGCCTTCCGGCAACAGCGGCGCGCGTGCGCCTGATGGCGAACCACAAATATTTCGATTTGGATAGCATAACGTATATTCCCATTAAAAATCTGAACCTACCCCCCCCCGGAATTAACGGCACTCTTTTCGTATGAGAATTCGCATACGATTTTACCCCATCGTCCATCCGAAATATGAACTCGTACCATCCCAAACAGGCAAGTATCCGGTCCCCCTCCCGTCCTCTGCCAAAAACACCACACGCGCGCGCAATAGTTTATCTCATCGGTATATTACGAATCCGTATGCTAAAAATGAAGCGACATGCACACGCGCGCGTTGTCGCGCGCGCGTGCCCAAATCCTTCGAAAACCTTGAATTTCGAAGGGGGTTCGACATGTGTCCCGACAACATACAACAAAACACGTGGTTTCGCAAAAACGAATGTTCAAATAGAAATATGCGCCCACGCTCTTGCGAATTCTTAGGACAACAATACTTTTCTCAACGTGTTCATAACATGCTACCGACCGGGCCTCTCGCGCGCGCATCGAATTCGTTTGAACGCCTCTGCGCGGGTGGTGCCGCAAGAATCCTTTGCAAGAAAAGCGGGGCGAAGTGCACGCGCGCGTCTCGTCGCGCGCGTGCGCCACAATCGTTCCAAAACGGCTTCGTCAGGGTATCAAAATCGAGTGTCCACACAAAACATATGAATCAAATGGTCTTGCAACGCGAGCTCAAAAAACAACCCGCCGTCGTGGTCGTTGCTGTAGACCGCGATTGTTTTGAGAACCCGGTAAATCATCTCTGTGGCCAACAACGCTCCGACTGAAAAACGCGCGGCCTCCGACTCGAGCTCGGCTTGCTTGGCGGCCTCCGACTCGCGCTGGGCTTCCTTAGCGGCCTCCAACTCGCGCGTGGATTTCCGGAAGGACGTTCAAAATAATTGTCTGCATGGCTGGTTCGAATCAAACAAATATTCTTATGTTTATTATGTTCTTCATGTTCCGTCCTGCTGTAGATCTTCCAGAAGCGTTTAGCCATGCGGCTCCGCTGTTGTCTGTAAACGTAGGCTCGACCTCTGGTCAACTTGGGGATCGTCTCAGGAAGGTCGTTGATGTTATCCTTGTCGTCCTGCTTCCCCGAACTGTCCACGCGCACCTGGGTCCACTTGTCTGCGGGCACTTCTCCCGATTCCTCCGGGGGGGAATTTCTGCTCCAACTATCCGTCTGCGAACTCGAAGGGCCGATTGATGCGGCGTCGGGCTCAGCCGTAGAACTCAGCCGGCTCGCCCGTTCATAGACGTCCACGTCGTCATCGCGCTCCTCGAAGACCCCCTCGCCATCTGCATTGAACGCAAAATCATCGTCGAGGTCGGCAATGCGGCCGACATCCGAGTTGCGATTCCCTTCGATGCGCCCGGCACCTGAGTTGACAAACTACAGATCAGTGTCGCCGCGCAGCGGCAACGCGCTGTTTATGATTACTGGTCGTGAAGCTACATATGCCAGGTGATCGATCGCACTGCATTTTGCATCGAATCGAAAAGGCATCCAGGGCAGCCGCAACTACGAGACTCAGAGGCCCAGCCGTTGTTGAGATCATCTTCTGGCAGTTCTAAAAACCATTCCTCCTGTGCAGGGCGAAACCTTCAGGAACGATCAAGACAGCATTGTCGCCGCCAAGAGCGCGTGCACCCCGCACCTTAACGCTTTATTGATCGAGCGATCAGTGGTGACAGATGGGTCCGCCTAAAATCACAACGATCGGATAGCAATCGACGTGCGATAGCGAACTCCTAGGTCGACTGCGAGCAGATCAATCCACTAATCGCCGCTGATGGCTGCAGCGTGGGAACGCCTGAATCATCATATATAACGACAGATGTGCTGGAAGAGATCGGCTCAGGATTATACGAACATCGCGGCGAATTTGACCGATCAAAACCTAAGCAAAGAACAGCCATCGCGAGCGAATCGCGTGTGCAGGCTGTTGCTGTGAAGGTGAAATCACACTGAAGAATCGAGGGGCGACTGGGGAGTTCGCCAACCTCGCTTGAGACTACATGGCGGCAAAGTGTTTTAATAGTAAAGATGTTGTAACTAATGCAACAATACATGATACCCTACACTGTTGTTGGGTTATTTTGCTGGTTCCCTTTGCCTGGTTCCTTTGTTGGGTTTCTTGTCGGGCTTCCTCCTGGTA